GATATTTTATTTCACTTATTCTCATGGATTTATAACTCTATATCCTGAAGAAGTTATTGAAAACAATTGTTCCCTCAAATTATTCTTTTTCTGAATAATTCATGAGAATCTTTAAACTAACGAAAAACATTTGGCAGCCTCGAAAATTGATATGCACTCACCCAGCAACCATGCGCATACTTGTTAAGGAAGCATCGAGTTACACCTATTGTGTGACAGTTAATGATACTACCTGGTTGCCAAAACCTCGGTAAGTGTAGAGGTATTCGAACCTGTATTATTTCAAACTACTCACCATCAGTCTAATGAACGTTTTTTTAAAAATTCGGATAACTTAAAAACAATCCTTAACATAGATATTTAACAAACATACTGTACATAACAAAACTAGAGTAGGCTGTTTAATAATCGATAGACAGTTCATCAAAACATGTAGGACCAAGTACTGCTTACTCTGTCAACGTTTCTCCTTAAAAAGCTCCTCACTATACCAAGTCCTACTTATTATTTCGCACAAATCATGTCCTCAGGAAGGGAGCTGAGTAGCCAAAATAAAAAGTATAATTATATAGAACAAGTCTATGAAATTGGGTAATGATTGAAGGTGAAATGAAAATTTGGAACGCGGCTGGACTCGAACCAGCGACCGCCAGGTGCTCTATCAACTGATCTACGATGCCCGACTGCTGACCAGATTTTTATTTCACTTCAACCACCAAGGATTTCGCCCGACTACAATGTGAATTCGTGACGCGTTGCTATCACTTGATCATTCTCAAACTGGTTGCCTAGGGCCGAAAACCCGGTGGTCGCTGGTTCAAACTCAGCCGTGGTCTGAATTTTTATTTCACCATCAATCATTACACAGGATCAATACTATTCTGTCAAATCACGGCTATCTCAGTCAAACTGAAAATCTATGGAGGTCAAGGCCTTATGGTGGCCACGGCGAAGAGGAAGCTTGAAGTTATCTTTTTTTTAAAACACAGCACTGGTTTTCACCTCTGAATGGTTAATGCTTCAGCTGAGTGGCCTCTCTACAAGGTAAGATCAAACCACTCGAAGGAAGTAAGATAAAGGCATTTGAGTAAAGTTGAAGCACTTACTATTCAGAAATAAAACCAACGCTACATATCCAGAAACCTCGCCTGGTTAACTAGTTTACTAGTTACTAGCCGGTCCTAAGCCCGGGTAAAGAGGGAAGGTTGGGCATAGGGCTAGCAACCCTACCCCGTAAAACAAATCTAACCGCTAAAGAAACTTCAAAGCACAAACAAAATATAAAAAATAAAAACAAACTTATTCCCCGCTGGAATCGGAGAGGCGAAATGACGCCAGTTGGTGAAAGCCTTCGGGAAGCCAATTGGCCGATGTGTCTTCTCTCGATGAAAGCGAAAGTAAACGTGGGGACATGGAATGTCCGCACGATGTTTGAACCCAGTAAGGCAGCCCAGATTGCAAAGGAGATGAGAAGGTATCACATCGAAGTGCTTGGGATTTGCGAAAGCAGATGGAATGGGAGTGGACTCTCCAAACTGTCAACTGGAGAATCAATAATCTACTCCGGTCACCCAGACGCCAACCACGAGCACACTGAGGGAGTGGCTATCATGATGTCCTCAAGAGCATCGAAGGCTCTCATGCAGTGGGAACCAATCTCCTCCAGGATCATGACAGCAAGATTCAACTCAAAAGGAAGAAAGGTCACAATCATACAATGTTATGCACCTACAAATAATGCAGAGCAAGAGAAAAAGGAGGATTTCTACAGACAACTTCAATCAACACTGGACAAGACGTCAGTTGGCGATATCAAAATTCTGATGGGCGACATGAATGCCAAACTGGGAGGGGACAACACGGGAAGAGAACTAACCATGGGTCGAGAGGCACTAGGTGAAATGAATGAGAATGGAGAATTGTTTGCAGAATTCTGTGCATTCAACGATTTGGTGATTGGAGGCAGTGTGTTCAGGCACAAAGATATCCACAAAGCGACATGGATTTCACCAGATGGACACACTAAAAATCAAATCGACTTTATCTCAATCTCAAGAAAATGGAGACGCAGTCTACTTAACACAAGGTCAAGAAGAGGAGCAGATGTAGGTTCAGACCACTACCATCTAGTGCAAGGAACCTTCCAAATCAAGTTAAAAGCCTTCAAGGAAGCTGGTGATAGACCTCAATTCAAGTACAACACTCGGAAACTGAAGGATGAAACTACAAAGGAGATCTTCAAGGCAGCCATCAAGACAAAATGGGAGACATCGAGCAACATCCCTGAAGAAACCTGTGTGGAAGAACACTGGAAGTCTTTGAAAGCTATGTGGAAAGAAACCTGCACAACAGTATTAGGAAGGAAGAAGAAAGAAGACAAGGAATGGATCTCGACGGATACCTGGAAGCTGATAGAGGAGAGGAGGATGGTGAAGCAGAAGATAAACCAGTGCAAGGATGCTCAACGACAAGAGGAACTGAGCACAATGTATAAAAACACTGGACAAAGAAGTGAAGAAGAGTGCACGCAAAGACAAAAGACACTTCTACGAAACACTGGCAAGTGAAGCAGAACAGGCTGCAGGTAAGAGAGACCTGACGACATTGTATCAAATAACCAGGTTGCTATCAGGGAAGAGACCAACACAGATGAAACCAATAAAAGATGAAGAAGGAAATTTAATTACAAAAGAAGAGAAACAGAGGAAACGATGGGCCGACCACTTCAAGAAGCTCTTGAATCGACCACCACCTGCACTTCGTCCAGAAATACCACCTGCAGCCGCTGAACTACAAGTGAACATTAATCCCCCAACGAAAATGGAAGTCCTGAACGCCATAAAGCTACTGAAATGCGGGAAAGCAGCAGGACCAGATGGAATACCGCCAGAAGCACTGAAAACAGATGCAGAGACAACAGCGGCCATGCTCACACCACTATTGCAGAAGGTGTGGAAGGAAGAGAAGGTACCTGACGATTGGAAGAAGGGTTACCTTGTCAAACTGCCGAAGAAGGGAGACCTCAGTGCTTGCAAGAACTGGCGCGGAATCACTCTCCTGTCCACCCCAAGTAAAATATTAAGCCGCATCATCCTGGAGAGGCTAAGGGATGCACTGGATTCAAAACTACGACCGGAACAGGCAGGCTTCAGGAAGTACAAATCATGTGCAGACCAAATTGCAACGCTTCGTATCATCATAGAACAGAGCATAGAATGGCAATCACCTCTCCACCTCAACTTCATCGACTTTGAGAAGGCCTTTGACAGCGTCGACCGAGAAGTAATTTGGAAACTGCTTCAATACTACGGAGTACCGCAAACCTTTATCCGCCTCATTCAACAACTATATGAAGATGCCACATGCCAAGTAATCCACAATGGGAAGCTCAGTGATGCCTTTGAAGTGAAGACAGGAGTGAAACAAGGTTGCCTACTATCCCCCATGATATTCCTGATTGTGGTGGACTGGATCATGCAGCAAACAGTAGGCAGCGAGAAGAGGGGGATACACTGGACGACGGAAAAGAACCTAGAAGACTTGGATTTCGCCGATGACTTATGCCTAATGTCACATAAACTTGAAGATCTGCAGGCAAAAACTAACAAGTTGATAGAAGAGGCAGCCAAGACGGGACTTCAGGTGAATATAGAGAAGACAGAAGTGATGAAGATACCGCACCACCACCATCAACAACAACAACAACAAACTCCAATCACCGTCAACGGGAGAAACTTAAAGGAAGTAACCTCCTTCACTTATCTAGGAAGCACTGTTTCAACTACAGGCGGGACGGACGAGGACGTCAAAGTCAGAATCGGAAAAGCAAGACAGGCGTTCATTAGCCTGAAACCAGTGTGGAGATCTTCTGCACTCAGCATGCGGAACAAGATACGGATTTTCAACACCAACGTCAAGTCAGTGCTCTTGTATGGCTCAGAGACTTGGCGCGTCACGAAAGGCATTTCCAATAAACTACAGACATTCATCAACAACTGCTTACGCTCGCTGCTGAAGATCAGATGGATTGCCAGAAAAAATAAGCAACAAGGAACTCTGGGAACGAACCAACCAAGAACCTATCACGCAACAAATATGCAGGAAGAAGTGGAGATGGATTGGCCATGCACTGAGAAGGCCGACTGAGGACATCACGCGTCAGGCCAGTTCTCGAGTGGAATCCCCATGGGAAGCGACGAGTTGGACGTCCGAGGGTGACATGGAGGAGGTCATGCGAGGAGGAAATGAGAGCTTCTGGGCTGTCGTGGGACCAGGTTCAAAAGATCTCAGAGAACAGAGGTCACTGGAGGCGTGCTACTGAAGCCCTATGTTCCACTAGGAACCCAAGGGACTAATAATAATAATAATAATAATACATATCCAGAAAGGGTACGTCTTGGGGAAAAAATACATGAATACATTATCAGTATAACATACTGAGCGCACTACAATGGTCTTTTTCACTCGTGATAGGCTATTCAATGTATACAGATACACACACACACACAAACTGAGTCTTTATTAGTTCACAAATTCATATTGTATATAAACATTTTCTGTATTGTCATCGTCGCAAAATACTCTAAGTTCACAATAATGATATTTCGAAAGTGAAGAGAAATTCGACGATGAAACACATCAGAACTAGTGAAATAAAATAAAATTTTAAGAAACACAGCAAGGGATTGATAGAGAAGAGTAGGGAAGGGTAACAATAGAAACACTATCACTAATCCATTACACATCCTTCGTCTTTTGATTTATAAATACGAGTAGTAGCGAAGAAGATAGCAAAGATAAGTGAAAGAATAAGATGGATAATGGTCAAGATGAGAGAAAAAATCTATCGAAGCATCAAACCATCTAGACATTTCCACTTATAAAACAACCATAACTGTATCACCATTGTCATTTCTATTATCATTTTTTGTAAATGTGGTCAGACAGTGAGCACAAATGTTCTAAAAGATCTTCTCTTCGTTTAAGTTGAACGGATACCAACACACACACACACACACACACACACACACACACACACACACACACACACACACAAGTGCTAACTGCTTTGCTTCTTTTGTTTTTCTTTCCAAAGAGAACAACAACATAGTGTACACACCATTATGCAGTAAATAATCATTGAGGAAAAGGATAAATAAAGCAGGAGGATCGGTAGTAATAGTAGAAGCAGTAGTAATGATAATACTGCCAATAATAATCTACAGTTCATAGAACAGTATGTATACTTTCATTAGTTTCTAGTTGATTTTGAATAAATACAGAAAACACATAAGTCAGACGACAGAATAACAGTAACAACAACAAAAATAATAAGAGGTAAAATACACATAGAGGGAGAGAAAAGTAACAAGGAGAAATAAAGTAGATGTAAGATTGCATACATATTCAAGATGACAAAAAGTGGTATTCATAATGGCAAATACAGAACAGAACCGAATATTATGTAGGTATGTTGTGTATAAATGTGCAGAGGTTTATAGGTATGCATAATGTATGTATTATGTACATGAAAAAAAAGGAGTGATGAGTGATATTTCTCAATTTTATCATTTCTCACTACATTCCTAAGACCAATACAGTAGCGCGCTAAGAACTATCTACTACAGGACCACCAAATGCCAGTAAGCCAAGACTTAGAACAAAATACAGCCAATACATTATATGATGAAAGGATATACAAAACTGAAGAAAGAAAAGCTCAGGCAGGAAACTAAAAAAACTAAGTTTTGAAAAGGAAAAAAATCTTTTTCATCATTATTTAACAGTTCGTTGACACAGTATAACTATAATGGCTTTGAAAATGCTTGTCTTATGACAATAACAGAATGAATAAGACAGAGGTAAGGGGAAAAGGTGTACAAATCTAATAAACACAAGTATAAGCAGAGTAGTAGAGGTTAGACAAATAGCAGGAAACGTACCGTTAACTGCAAAATTCCTAGACGACAATAATGAACCATGAGAATCACAATAGAGAAAATAAAAACCACACACAATTCATCATCATCATCAACATACACAACAACGATTTCAACAACATCTGACCATCTTCCTCCTTGTAAGAGAAGACAAATAACTATGCAATCAAGTAAGTAATTAAATCAATGAAACAAATAAACAATTATTTTGTTTAAATAACAGGAAATATTGAGTCTTTTCGGCACAATTAATGCGAAACCAGAAAGTAGAGAAAAAGAAGTTGGCAAGTAAAAACTAGAGAGAGAAAAAAAAAACAATTCAACTAATGAAAAAAGCGAATATTGCACAGGATGCGATGTGAGTAGGTCTACACATTGAGTATCTAGATTAAGGTGAACAATAAGTCAAATAAATCATATGCATATTAATCGACGAGAGGCAGGGCGAAAACACATGATGTAATGCAAAACTGTAATAAAAGCACTCAAAATAGAAAAAATAAAACAAATATTAGGATAGAGATTTCTTTGTTTGAATTAAATAATGAAATGCAAACAAATTTGTATTGTGTATTTTCACTTCTCCAAGGAAATATATCTACTCTTGTATTACATTAACACTATTCAATATTGACATTGAAGCGCATACAAGCAACGAATGAGGAGAAACATACGAACACACAATGACAACAGAAATAGAGGTTGAAAATACATGATCCCATACAATACGAACTAGTACAATTATTATTATTATTATTATCATTATTATTATTATCATTAACATTATTATTATAAACACACGGGGATTGCACACAATGACCATATTGAAAACTTAAGTGGAATGCGGTTTTGATCAGAAAGCTGCCACCCTCCACATCTTTTACGATAGACACTGGACTACCAACATCAGATATTTGAAGTGACTAGATCTTTTAGGAAACTACAGTGTTTAAATAAGTAAGAAACACTCTGAGACAATAACTATGAAAGAAAGTAACCAATAGAAAATCAAGTAGATTTGTTGCTGATATCACTACCAACACCAATTCCACCATCTTGTGCATTCGTATCTTGATTTCCATCTGCATCTCCCGATTGATCCCCTGACTTAGAACCTGTGACAGAGTCAAAAGATACGCCTTGACTTTTATGGTTTGCAGATGGATAGGAAGGCATTGACGCCTGATGACTTAAACGAGGACGAGGTTGTGATGAAATCTGAGGAGGTGAATGTGACTTTTGTGACAAACGATTAGAAGAATGAGGAGACTGTACATTACTACCAATGGCGATGTTTGAAACATGTGCAGGTGTAACAATGGTCGCAGGAGCATGAGAGTCTGCATTTGACACGGGATCCAGAACTCCATACATCTTATGAGCTTTTTTGTTCATATGGGCCATCAGTTCACATGAGATTCGATAACCCTCTAATATTTCTTCCTTCCATTGTGTAATTAATATCTTGTCCTAAAATAATACAAAAAACATCCTTAGTCCAAACAAATATGAGAAGAATGAAGCGGATTTCAGTATCTATGTGCTCTTTCGTAGAGTAGACATTAAGTCACATGTATGGTGTGAGGGATAATGGTACGACCTGGCTGCACAGACTTCGACAAATGGAGCAGGGTTCGAACTCGCAGATCAAATAACTAGACTAATGAGTAAGAGCTAGACTTTATTATATATATATATATATATATATATATATATATATATATATATATGACAGGAAAATTCCAATCACAGTTAAAGAACATTGAAAAAGAAACGAGAAGTTACAACTAGCTGAAAACCATAGAGATTAGCACCAGGTCTTCCCAACTAAACTAGATGGAACAGAACATGAGATGAACATTTAGTAGATCTTCGTCGAAATCATCGAATACACATCAATAAACGTGTTTAGAAGGTTTGTTTGTATTGGAATACTTCTACCTCGATACTTTCGTCTGAAATTAATATCTAAAGAATATCCTTGTTGTTATCTTATAGTTCCGTATTGAGAGGACACTTAATAAGGAGATATATCAACATAGACAGTTCAATCCACAAATACTTATGAAATTACTAAACCAAAACAAACACTTGTAGAAATATGCAAATGCTTATGAAAACATTCCCAGTAAAGTTGGAAGGTTGGCAAACTAAAAGGACACAAAAAGGGATTGACCATGAGAAGCTCCATGAAATTAACAACCTCCAGCAGTGTAACTGAATGCACAAGAGTACAGCAAAACAGTTTAAACAGCTAAGGCAAAATATATAGTATATTATGAATAATATAGTGTAACTCAATCCGGTGTGTTTACTTACTAGTCTGTGAGCTATATTTGCTATATGAGGGCTTATGATACTAACCGGTCACTTAGTCCAAAATATATGCAGTGAGATTCCAACCCAAGATATATCTCTGTAAAATTGAATTTTTAAGTCAATAAGCTAAATCCTCAGAAAACAAATCCCCACAAATATCGACTTACCTGTTTCAAACAATCAGTATTAAAGCTTTCGCTCAGTCATTTTTTTATCATAACCGAATATCTTTATAGCAAATGTCAGAAGACAATTGGAAATTAAAACCTGAACGCTGTAAAAATGGTAGAGTAAGTCGAGTTAAGAAGTTGAATTATAGCTCCCTGACTATGCATTCAAACGCAAAACACTTATTCCAAGCGTAACAGTGTACATTGTGGCTATTGCTGTATAATGGAGAAAATCGTCAATCTTTAGATATAATTCGTTTTCATACAAAGCATTTTGCACTATTAAACTAAATTTAGTATATTTCATAAAGGAGAAATATCAACAATACAAACCAATCATCATAAGGAGGTTCGTTTACTAGTTTACGAGGTGCATCTATTTTGTAAGAGCTGCTGATGTAACCTGATTGTCAATACGATACAAAGAATCCCTACATAAAGACAAAGAAAACAAACTTGGAGATAACAAAATGAGAAGACATATATAGGCCAAGCAACTGGACGACATCTAAATACACTCCCAGAGATGTCTAAACTTACATTTGAAGTTATGTACAATCGAGTGTCGTTTTTCAGTTTGATTGAAATACAATTATCCATTTTGCATACACGAGAAAACTCCGGAGAAATTTCCTTGATATCGAGCATTGAAATAAGCTGAAATATTAAACGCAAACGCAGATTATTATTATTATTATTATTATTATTATTATTAGTAGTAGTAGTAGTAGTAGTATGAGCGACCTTAAAGGCCACTCTAGCGAATGCTGAAATAACCAATCACTTTTCTTCATCTTAAGAATACCTCCTCTGCCCACTGAAACGCCGAAAGCTGATTGGTTGCTAGCGTGGTCTCCAAAGGCCTTATTATTATTATTATTATTATTATTATTATTATTATTATTACTATTATTATTATAGAGTGGCTGGAAATAAAGTGTACACGGGAAGAAAACTACTGAAAAGACAATTAGGTGTTATTCCACAAAAAGATTATTTTACAAGAATAATGAGTCATTGGACGAATAACTGAAAACTATTCCTCACAAATGAGTGGCGATAGCATTTTCTACAGGAAAATTCCTATCCAACAATGCTAAACTGTGGAGTTTTAGAGACGGGTCGATAGCTGTACTATTAACCAGTAAAGCTGGATAGAATCAAAAATATTTGACTAATAAGATAAACTCCACTTTCAAATATGCCTACAGAAACTAAAAGAACAGCGGACAATAAAGATAATGTCACACTATCCGCTTCCAATTTTTGCTATCTTTGGCCCATGATTTTAGTTTATTTAATTTACTATGGAGGAGAAAGTTAAACAATTGAGTTCCAAACATTAGTAACGTTAAGACAATACAGGTTAGAAAAACGTCCCCCACTGATCATTATCTTCAATTCTTATTAGTTATGTTCCACATAGAAAGGATCCCAAAGATTTTGAAAACAAGGTTGAGTGTTAGGTAAGCTGTTTCAAAAATAAGGTACAAATGAAGCATACTGATGATTTGACTAAGTTTTTCTTACAGAATAAAACAACTACAAAAATATCAAGCGCATACATAGAAAAATGCAATCAAGAAAAAACAGGATTAAACAAAGACACTGAACTCAAAAGAAAGTCAATGCGATTATGAGGCATACACATACCTCAACATAGAGTAACAAAACTCAAATATCAAAAATGATCACTTGAAATAAAAATAAGCCATCCAAGCTATCAAGATACTACACTACACTTACGTCAACACCTTTTTTCAGGACTAAACCATCTCTAGACTTGTTATACAGTTCAAGACGATTTGGAAATAATCGTAAATATTTACGTTGCCAAGTTTGTAAAAATGGTCCACCAAGTTTCAAAACTTCACCTTCAACAATACAATCTGAAGCTACACCATCAACAGTTAGACAGTCAGAAATTGAATTTCCCCCTGATCCAGTATTTGAGACTACAACATTTGCAGTGTTCGATAAATTGCTAGCACTTGTGGTGACTCCACTACTTGAGACATCAGCTGTCTGTGTAGAACGCTGTCGAGCACGAGCTTTTTTAGCGTCAATTTTATCAGCCTCCTGATTTACAAAATCAAATACCGTTTCAGCTATCTCCAATTGCCAACGCTCAGATACAACAAGTGAGAAGTTCTGATACAATGCTTGATCAGCTTCTGTAAGCTAAAATAAATAACCAATCGAAGAACAACTTAGAATACTGGCAGATTGCAGGTAATTATCATTTGTTTACAGAAAATGACAGATCCGTTTCAGTAAACAAATGGTTACACTCCATTGTCTTTTAAAAAATTACACAAAAAATGAAATCGCATCGAACATTCTACACTATAAAGATTTCTCCTGAGTTTTTGCCCAGTTACAGTAAAGTTCTGAAATGGTTACAGAATTTATCAAAACTGGGAGTTAACAGATAACCTTTCAGGCACAGTATACTGCTCATCCCATAAAGAAATATCAAGGCTGTATGAGATTAATTGTGACATGATGTGATATAACGAATAACTAGCATATTTTGTAAATTATCTTCATTCACTGGATTAGTGCTATGATTGTTGGTGAAATTCTCTAACACTCAGCGTACCCCTTAAATTACGTAACCAGCGACACGCTATACACTCAATTTTATGCCAGTTCACAATCTTTCGCTTCAGACTAAGTTCACTAAATGACAATAGACAGATGCTATTATAATCCACTGAATGGTTTTTGTGAATGCTAAAACAAAAGCAAAACTTATAGAGAACACACTTTACTACTTTAAGAGCAACATGTGTGATTCGTAGTGTGAGAGTACACGTAGCTAGATTTCTGGTGTCATTTAACTTCAATACTAATATTTCATACTTCAGCAATAAAGGGAAGTCGATGGCGATGTAGCATTATTGGCTTAATTCGCAACTTCACATAGTGGTCACTTTCTTTCAGATACTTCAATAAGCGCTGAAAGAGACGGATTGGCCGCAGAAATAAACCAAGCGGATCTTTTCACTCTTAAAAGTTGGCTCCGTAATGAAAACAACTTGAAGGTTTGTGGAGATTTAATGATTTTAGGTTGGTACACATCATGGACCGACATCAGTTAGAGAAATATTGGAAACCTGGGATAACCGAACAGTTGCACACCCATGACCCTCTCACGAGTCGAACTCAGGGCCTTCAGGTCTCGCGGCCAGCACGTCACTATTGAGTCACTGGGTTGGAATCTGATGGTTCATACCTCCGACTTTTGTCAGTTTACGACATAGCATGACCTTCGTCCAATGCCGTCATTGAGTAACTGTCCTCATGTTCGACTTTGTTGGCACCACCGGTCACGACTTGTCGTTGGAACTTCAGAAATTAACTCTCGAGGCTAGTCACTAACTAGCACTATATTAATTCAATTTGAAGGTTTGTGAGGATTTATTGATTTCAGGTTGGTATGTCACTATGGACGAAAAAGGGAAGACTTGCTATCCGAAAACAGACGTTTTGCTCTTACCCCTAGGTGTACTGAGTATACTTCCCGATCCGTATAACGCACGTGTTACTTAAAACGGACCAAGCATCACAGATATAAAGTTAAACAATCAAGGAGAGAGCATAATAAGTGTCGACAAGCATCAAACTTAAATAATCTGTAGCAATATATATCACCATCATCCTTTAAACTACTCTTACCTTTATACCTTTCGTGTCCTCCTCATCGAAAGAACCAATGTCGAAAGCATCAGCAGCATTTACTTCACCTCTAGGTGGAATTAAAGGAGGTGGGTACTTTTGTAAATACACCTGTTGCCAATCGATCCCTTTGAAGAATGGATGCTCACGAACTTCAAGTGATCTAAATGAAGAAAACGTTTTTTAGGAGACAAGAAAAAACGAAACAAGACGTGAGAAGAAATACAAAGATGAGGGGAAAAACACTCAAGTTTGAGAAATGAAATAAACGGTTAGGATATACCACAAACACCCCACGTAATAAAACAAAAAATTTTAGGTTAAAAACAGTATAACAGTTAGGACGGTGAACTGGCATCGTCAAGTTGTTTAAAAAGCTGTCCAAAACTAGATTATAGAAGAAATCACTTTATCGCAAACTTTTGTCATTACAAACTAACAAATTAGACTACCTAACATTATAAATGCAGCTTTAAATCTGTGGGAAAAATGAAAACCCAAAGAAATTTAATGAAACTTCTAGATTTACACAAAAATAACTACGAATTGTCCAACCTTGAAAATATGAAGTGGGTTTTTTATTTAACATTTTGTATTAGTGAATACCTACCTGTAGTAAACTGAGTAGAGTAATAATAATGGTACGTAAGGTGACTCATTTAGCTTGTACATGTACATGTATGAGACTATGTGCTAAACTGAATGTATAAATGCTTATGGAATTACCAAGTCTCCATGACCAAAGTTGACGAAACCGAAAGTAGCCTTTTATGAAGATCACGCCAGCGCCACAAAAGGCTCACTTGGCTTTCACTAGCCTACCCCCATCTGTGGCGCCGCCGAGATATCTGATTGTCAATTAAGAGAAGTGTGCTGTGCTTCAGTTTGTTTCGTTCTAGTGCATAGCTGTTAAACATGGTCACTAAAGGTAGCAGATATAGGAAAGGTTTAGGTGTTCAATTATAATTGCCTTCGAAGCATAGGCTGTGTCACGATGTTGCTACGTCAGTAAAGTACGAGTCAGGTACATAGTTTCGGGTAGAAGAGGAAAGTCAGTTGATGAGGTTGTGAACCTTCATCGACCTAGGTGGCTAGGACACGCGTTACCCATGCCTAGCCATCCTCTACCTCGCTACAATGTTAGCTAAAGTAGGCTCAGATAGGAAAATGATTAAAGAAGGCCAGACTAGAAAACGATATTTGTTCATGAAGCTCCTGACTGTTAGTCTTAGCCGTGCAGAAAAACGTAAACTTCCTGATCCGGGATCCATGTGACAATAGAAACTAGTGGTTGGCGACTCTAGGTGATGTCGCTCATAAACGATTGCAGTGGCACAGATGCATCCATACATTATCTACATCTTAATCGCTATACGCAATTTCCTTATTGTCTCACTCTTCTCGGATCTCTTTTGATGACTTCTTGAGACTTCCGACTGCTTTATTCTTTATTTGTTTACTTTCCATGTGCTGGTATGAGGTGTGACAACTTGGACTGTTACGCAGTAATGCCACACCCCATGTTACATTTCAACCCAGGACCTACTGGCTGAAAAGATCGAGGACATGAGTCGGTAAACCAATTCAATAAACATCAAACACATGAGAAGGTATATTGAAAATGTCCAGGAATCAAAGTGTAACAAGGCAATGGAAAACTGTTTCGGATCTCCAACGTCACTGTGGTATGATAATAAACAATATGTTGTAGGCATCTAATTAAAAAAATTGTGGAAAATTCTTTATTTAGTGAATGTATAACGATATTTTCAATACCTCAGCTTAACAAATAGGTCAGTTGCGGAACTGTATTTTCGTATTGGCACCCAATCGATACATATCAAAAGCAACAGTTTGGCTGGCATAAGGCACTCATTACTTTCCTGACATGATGTGTAACTTTGATGATATATAACATGAACAAAGTGACTAACTATTGAAATACGGGACAGTATCCCTAATGAGACTTAGGTTGAGAGTTAAAAGTATGAAAATTACATATCACTATAAAAGACTTTACTACTAACCACAGCACTTCTTAAAAGGAAAATATAACTTTTCCCATAATCTCCTCAAAATTAGGATACATAAACAAGTGCTACGAACGTATAGGAATGAGCACTACCCTCTTGGCACTATTTTATTAAGTAATTAGGTTAAATTCAGTTGGAGCAAGTATCCACTAGAATTTACTCGGAATATACGTCGACCACCTTCTGACCACATAGTATTATTATTATTATTATTCAATCAGTCAATATCAACACAGGTTCAGGTATTACCACGTAAAGGTTCAAGTTGCCACACCTCACATAAGCATATCCAGTAACAAGGCAATAAAATGGAAGATGAAGAAGGAATGAGATGATGTGATCAAGTAGAGCTGTTCAGATGAAGATAGTGCATGTATGCATCCGCGCCACTATTATCATTATTATTATTAAAGTAACTGTTGATGCATGACTACGATAATAGTGAACACAAACTGTTTGTTAGCAGACGTTATTCATGAAAAGCAATAAAGTGGAATTCATACTACTGACAGTATCTAACCAATACGTTCTGATTCTTTTGAGATAGACTTTCAAGCTTGAAAGTTTTTGTTAGGGGTGTCTGGATCCCTTATATTCCATACTTACAGTTTAGGTACATTTGAACTGTTTCACTTTGCGCTCTTTTTCTCGCACATGGGGTCATATTTCGTATGACCCGCTAGCGTTTCGACTGGCTCCTGTCTCTTTAGATGTACTAACTATTCCTATCCTTTCAAGGTTACTGTAAACTGTATAGATAGGGTCCATTTTCACTAACAAACGTTTTCAGTTCGAGATACCATAAATCCATTCGATTTCCAGTCTTTTGATTTCTGTTTGTGAATCACTCAGGTTGAATCGTCTCAACCATCGACTATCAATCGTTAAATATTTTCGTTCATCCTAGCAACTCCGCATGATAACAGTTGTCAACAAACAAAAAACGAAAAATATTCGTCTAGGTCATAAGCGTTACTACACGTGAGAGAAAAGTTTTATTTACGATTTGCCAACATTAGCTTCGATTGATGCCATTAAAACTAAAGATTTCCTATACTGATAAAATTTTGTTCCTAATGTAGCGTCTGCGATGCTACAGTTATAGGAGACATACTTCAACTCAATAATCGGGTAGTGAAAAGGGTAACATAAATGTTAGCAAGCTGTAGTAATGATTTTTCTACGTAAAATTAGGTAAACAAAAGTAAAACTATGGCCTCATTCTCCATCATAAAATGAGGGTTCTAGAGTTCTTAAGTTTATTCCGGTTAACCTCATCGATACGCAACACAGCAACATCTGCAATTGTGTAGTGACTATGTTGGGGGCATACAAGCTCCACAACACCCTTAAAGTATCAATCATTATTTATCGCATATTTTGATAATTGCAAGTTGATTATGCTCCATTCGTTGATGTCTGCTTCATATACATTTCTTCTTAGCCTTGAAATATACTATGCAGCTTAAAACAGCACATAAAGATGAAAATAATCGAAAAACATATCACGATAGAGTAAATAAAAGCCTATGAAAACAAAGAAACGATTGAAGGCTGATAAAAGGTTTGTATATCCGAATGCATTTACACTGTGAATATCAACTTTGAGATTTGTCACTGAAAGTTTGTTACAAACTGTTTCTAGCATCTTCCTCATCTCATCCTCTACATGAGATAACACAATTGACCAAGGATAGAATTAACAATAAAACAAGTAAAAGTAATTCTGAATGATTAACACTGAACTAAAGAGAAACAACTATTAAACATACGGAGTATTGAAAACTGTAAGTACTGCAGGAAATGGAGGCCTATCATCTGTGAGAAGCACTTCATGAATCTGTCTGATGAAGCAGGCGTTTAACAACAAAACTAAAATCTCAAAGACGGAAAACACCAAGACATAAGTTACTGACCTAAAATTTGCATGGTAAACACCAAGGGTTTAAATGTGAAGGGAAATCAATTTCAGTAATGCATGCAGCATATATGTATCAAGTTTCTGCTGACAGTTAAGCGATTCCTTCCTTAAAGTTTAAAAACATGAACGAATGTGGAAAAACTGTCACGACAATTCATACAAAACAAAAATGTCTATTTTTAAATAATGTTATTGCTCAGAAATGACCTACCCACGACCCATACAACCAAGACGATTATATACGTCCCGCGCCAGGAGGCCTTCTAAAAGCGACCGCATTTCACAAGACATACCGTCAGGAATATCAAGGCTCTAAAAGATACCAAAGTATTCAAAAAAGACAACTGCAGACAAAATGATAATGAAAACAATGTTTGTCACGTACAATCACTTATATGCAAATATTCACTGTTTCTAGTCGTCTACGCTACTTGTGACGCTCAGAAAGTATCCCATAGTATGCTAAGAGAAGAGTATCTTGTGTTGCAGTTCACTGTACGGCTATGAAACAATAGATCTGGAAGATAAAATAAGTCCACGTGCCCTGAGACCAGCATAGGAATGAAGGTTAAGTATAGAGTCTTCAATAAAAGAGATACCCCACTTGATGAGCTTCTAAACTGTCACAGACTGAGATAGCTGGGATATGGGTTATGTATGTGTAGTAATCATTGACCCCGGTATAATATATCAATCCTAATACCGTTATTCCGAAAAACAATATCGGTGGCCAAAACAAAATGTAACAATTAGACAGACAGATAGATAGAAAGAAGGACAAAAAGTGCACAACTGATGACAACAGAAGGATATCGGCTCAAGTTATCAAATTTCACAGCAGCATGCAACGAAGAATCGTGCAGAAACGATGATATCACAATCGACAAAACTGTATGGGTAAATAAAAATAAACGGAGGTTCATGAAAATAGGCAAGATTTTCAGGATGACAAATAGTGAAGTTTCCGATTATTCATGTAAACCGTGTTGGATCATGTAGACTTTTAGAATGGAGTCCGAGAAGTAAACTAAATCGATGGTTGAAAACTATAGATGATATGGTTCAGCATCAATCTCAATGGCACCGATCCATTCCATTCGTTTTAACATTTATACACGTTTTGTAATTTACTTTTCCTCCTTTCTCTTCTTAAAACCGTTACGCAGTATTGCCAGGTTCAGTGTCGACAGTGACAAGCTTATTTACATCATTCTTCTTCCTTTTCATGCATCATCCGGTTGTTTATAAAATATGATAATTTATAATAAATCTGTAACTAACGAAATGGAGTATGATAGGATATTAGCAAAATACAAGCCATAATTGGTTTACAGGAGGAAAAAGACCATCTCATCTCAAATCAGAAATTCGTGAAGGCAGGTTAAGAGAGACTAAGAAAATGATTCAATCAATTTACCAGTTCTGTAGAGATATATTTAAGGATTTTGATAGATAATGAGAGAAAAACTCAAAACGCAAAATATTTATTCGCATAAACAGACATTTGTTTTCCAATCTGAAAGATTTATGCAACAGAAAAATTACTTAACATCATAAATTCTATGCAGTCAGAAAGTCAGTGAGTGTCAACATGTGAACAGGTGTTACTGCGTAACAATCGAATTATCAGCACATCAAAATACAAGGCGACAGAACTTATGATACAAAAATGGAAATGGCAGAACCAAGTGAAGAAGATAGCTAATGAACGAAAAGAAGAGGAGATACAGAATAACGCATGAATCAGTGTGGGAATCGATTGTCTGAGGTCTCACTCTCAGAAAGAGACTTTGATAGTCCAAAGACAAAGATGTTCTCTATAGTAACAATAAGAGTAACCTCTACGATTAAATCTATCTTACGGTCATCAAAGATTTAACTTTTCTTACATTTACACTACTGTGTACTTGTGGGGCCAGACTAACGAACACATATGACTAAGTGAGACATTTTAATGACTATCTCTTGGGGTACGGCAAACTGAAAAGGGAAGTAGAGTATTCATAAAATTTCTATCCAATCACACTAGTAATGCATATTCACCAGAGGAGAGGAAGGAAACGAGATCTGCTCGTCTATAATTAAACAGATAACTAGTCATCTACCAGAAACTGCAAAAATCCACTTTCTACGAACCGCCGAAACAACAGTCATATAGCATAATAAACCCCTAACTGTGTGTGCAGAAAATATTACCGCATTTCTTAATCTCCTGAAAACAATAAGATGTTGGTGAATTTGATATGGGGACACTACTACAAGTATAGATCGGTTTTATAAGATGTTAAATTCAATCTGCATCTGCATAGTCTGAAATCACCAATTGAAAACCAAACTTCTTGCACTACTTCCATTAGCTGTTTCGCCAACATTAGGAATTCACGTGGCAAGATAAAAAAAGTGAAGAAAACCACTTTATAACATGAATACTTACCATGGTCATGGTCATTCGGTCGATTTCATGTTTATCCTTTGTTTTATGATGTCGAAACGGGCTATGACCTCTTAACAGTTTATACAGCATGCATCCAAGTGAAAACCAGTCAGCTGAAGAATCATATGGACAACCTTTTTGTAGTACTTCAGGAGCCATATAACCATGAGTACCAACACTAGCGTGAGGTTTGCGGCGTGAAAAATCACAAGCTAATCCCAAGTCACTAATTCGAACATGGCCGTACTCATCCAAAAGTATATTCGCTGGCTATTTATACGAAAAATGAAGTTAATACACAAGTTAGTATAAGTAATAATTAAAAATACAGATACTTTCAACTATAAAAAATTGAATTCGATATGACTATACAACATACCCCAAAACTTTAAACACAAATTCCCACAGTTCAGTTTGGAAGCCTGTTGGGATTTTATTGAACTGATAGAAGTAGGAAATATGAAACATTGGGTCCCAAACCAGTGGCTTAATGGTAACGTGCTGGTTGCGGAACCTGAAGGTCCTGGGGCCGATCGATCCCTGGTGGGGTGGGGTCATGGGTGTGCACAGCTGCTCGGTGCTCCCATGTTTCCAATGTTTCTCCAACCAATGTCAGTCCATGACGAAAACCAACCTGTAATTCTTACAGTTTGAATGATCAGAGATAATGAAAACAGCGTATAACACAACATCGGTGTGACAACATCTGGACTTTAACTACCATGACGATGAATCTACTGACAGGAGTCAAATGAATGAGTTTACAAAACTGCAATTTATACAGAGAAGGACAGGTGTGACTTGCTTAGAGCAACATGTTTCAAATGACCTCATCAAATGAACCGCCTACAACAAAGCAGCACTAGTAACTGCGTGTTGTCGCCATAAATTTCAGAATGAGACTTTCAAGTATTGAGTCTTGGGTTCAGATTTCGTTCCACACATTCTGACCTGGGTAATCGGATAGTATCATAAACCTTTGAACAAAAAGTGTGGTCATGGTCAAGTACACAGATATGAATTAGGTTGATTCGCATAACATTTTTAATTCAAATCACCACTAAAGTAAGATAGTTCTCCACCTATTTATGATCAGACGCTTACCGACTTTTTGAACTAGCCTACTTAAACAACAATATCTCAAAAGCACGGGTTTCGGGGAATGGAAGAAAGCTACTTGCACAAATGGAAGAAAAAAAAGCATATAACTTTGAAAGTCTGAAAAATATTCACAGTTTTCATCTGTTTGCATAAGGATAAAAAAAACAAACAAGTAAATTAATTTAACTGGTTACGTTAAGTGAGCCTATTTCATACACTTACTAATTAAAACTAACACAAGGTCAAAAGTGACAAAACACTATGTGTTACACTAATGTAACACTATTGTTACACAAAATATATATATATGTTCAAGCGTAATCCAATATTTATTTCACTAAAAAACGATAAGCTCCTTATAAACGTGATACGTATCGAGTAAAAATTATTAATTACACCAAAAGATAATCTCAATAAATAAATAAAAACTGACTTCATAGTCAAACTATAGATAATCAAGATGTGCTCACAAAATATTGAAAAGTTATATGTTTGAAGATAAATGCAACTTGTGCATGTGATGAAAGTAAGCAATTATCACACGAAGTAGAACAAATTATACTACCAGATAATCATATGAAGGCAATAAACAGTATATATCGATAGAAATATATCACCTTTCTAACATATCAACAAGCTTTTGCGGTGCTTGAAACTACTGCCCAAAAAAACAACACTTGTTTTTCTTCATTTCCGGTATAATCAAGGAGAAATACGATTTCTCTTTTTAAAAAAAAACTCAGTATGCACTCAAATATAATAACGACAAATAGAGGGGGAAAGGCAGTTATAATGTTTAAGAAAAAGGTGTAATACAAATACTATTGGGAAGAGTGATTTTTACTCACCTTTAGATCACGGTAGACCACAAATCGATTATGCATATGCTCCAAGCCCAATATAACCTCAGCAGCATAGAAACGTACTTCTGATTCAGAAAAGATATTATGCTGAGTTAGATGATAGTGTAAATCGCCACCATTCATTAAATCTAATATGAAGCACAATTTCTCTGGTGTTTGGAAGGCATAAGTCATACAAACTATAAAAGGGCAACCATCCTATTTTGAAGAGAAAACATAGATATACGAGTTAAAGAAGTCTTAGTTGAAAAAGATTTGTTGGCTGTTACAAATGAACTTCTTCGAAATTATAAAAACTTTATAAATTACTGCTTTTACATTTGTCTTTGAATAAGTGAAAACAGTTGTTTCCAGTATAGCACTAGAGAATTAAACCATTGCGTTCTAGGATATCCTTCATGAATGCCAGGAAAGGATCAAAAAAGAAATATTTCAGGTTGGTTTTCATCATGAACTGACATCAGTTGGAGAAACATTGGAAACATGGGTATACTGAACAGCTGCATCATCCTAGTATAGGATTCTTCAGCACTGCACATCCATGACCCTATCAAGGATCAACCCCATGACCTTCAGGTCCCGCAAACCAGCACATTACCATTGAGTCATTGGGTTAGGATCCAATAGTCTATATTTCCTACTTCTGTCAGTTCGTGATATAGCGGCAACCTCCGTTCAATGACGTCGTCGAAGCTAGTCACAGTAGATTAATTCAATTTGGAGGTTTGTAGGAATTTATTGGTTGATTTCAAGTAGCAAATATGAACCAACGGATTACAATCCAAGGGCTCAACGTGCTGCCCGCAGGAACCTGAAGGTTTTGGGTTTGATCTCTGGCGGAGTCATGGGTGTGGTGAGGAGTCCCATACACTAGGACAAAACAGCTGTTCAGTGACCCCCAGACTTCCAATGTTTCTCCAATGTTTTTTTTCAGGTCATGATGAATGTCAACCGGAAATCAATAAATAAATCTCCACAAACCTCCAAAAAGAAATATTCCCAACTCAATTTAAGCACATTATGCAGTGTGAGAAGCTTCATGCATCAAGTAATAAGTTACAACTTTCGTGTGATGACATATGATGCTAACTGCCTGTCCGAACCTTGGTAGGCAGTGGTGAGTTTGAACCAGTGACTCACTGAATTGACGGTCATCACTCAAACCAAGGGATCACAGCTTTTCCAGTGCAATTAACCAACGGATAGCTTAAGTATTCACGATGATTCATCAAATCTTTAGAATATGCTTCCTATTTGTTCTGTAAACAAAAAAAGACACACGAACACAAATGAAAAATTCTCGTTTCTTCGATCCAGCAAAAATTTTAGTGCAAACTTTATTCTTATTGACATACTAGTTGTTCTCCGTTGTTTTGTTGGATCGAACTGTCCGACCTCTATTGGCATATGGGCCTCCTATGGGGATGCCTCGATATTGTCTGAATGTTAACTATCAGACCTTATTTTTGTTTTGGCATCCAGTTAGATTTTTAATTATTGGATTTCCTTACCCACTTACCTTTATACTTGATGTATATTATACGTCTTTTATCTTTATATAATTCAGTAGTTTACATCATATATAAAAAGTGTATAGTTATGCATATTCGAGTATAATCTGAGGAAAATTCAACGTGAAGTTATTCAGACTACTAATTGAATACCGAAGCTGTTTCATTCATTCACAATAACAAGCCAAATATCACATTTAAACGAGAAGTAAGGTGATAAAGTTGAAAAATTCCACATTTCTGTCCTGGAAATGAAAATTCACAAGCATCAGTCTAGGCTACCATCAATTTCGTGAAGTTTTACCTGTGGACTGTAACTGTAGTAACTAATATGCCCCCTCCAGGTGTTTACTGTTGTGTTCAGACGTAAGTTGGGTTAAAAAAAATCGAGATGCACTTATCGTGCAACAGGCAATCAGCCGCACCTATTTTGTGTATGGGATAATGATACTCTACCTGGCTGCTCACACCTCGGTAGGTTAAGCGGGGTTCCAACCTGTGGCCTATCGGTTGAAATTCGAGTGCGTAGACTAGTGAACCACAGGTGTATAGGATAAAGATAAACTGTCGTCGGAATAGGATGATTCCAATTTCCTTTCACCTCTGAACTAAATGATCCTGTGAGCAGTGAGTCCACACATGAATGATAGAAAGACAGGTAAATCGACAGCACTTAGTGCCTAAGTCGGATGATATCGATTGCAATGAGAAATTTAGAGGAGCGAAATCATTTTGGTAAAATGGGTACTTTGAGGACTGAACATCATTTGAAGTATTAGATATTTTGCGAGTGGAGTTACTCCAAGTGGTACTGGAGCTGGTGCAATTACGGAGAGAAACAAGAAATTCTGAATGACTTCATTTGTTGTTTCCAACCTAATTAAACATAAACGGAACATTGTATGGATCAGGAAGAACAGTATCTCAAAAAACCGAGGAAAATGTGTTTAACTCTTGAATTTTTACCACCACGAATCCCCCGAAAAATACATTACTTGGGGATCATGCCTTGAAGTTATTTTACTAAAGACTGTGTGTATGCTGGGTAGAAATCAATATAGAAATTCCCTTGAAACCCCACAGGTACTCACATTTCCTTGAACAGTCAAATTTAAGTCGTTTTTTATAAACGAATAAAAAAATCAATATGACCCAATGAAGTTTTCTAGAATACCAAAACAATTCCAGACAAAAACTAATGACAATGAACTACACGACTTACTGAATAGATTACGAATTCAAACGATACACACATGATCAGTAGTAAGGGTCATAGAAACTAACAGTAATCACTTTTTTATGCTAAAGTATTTAATAAATTTCTACAGTCACTGAATGAAAAACCTCTGGATAAGTATTTATGAAGTAGTATTCATCACGCACTGACATCAGTTGCAGAAACGTTGGAAACCTGAGAGCACTGGATAGCTGTTTCGTCCTAGTATGGGACACTTCAGCAGTGCGCACCCACGACCCTATGAAGGGTCGACCTCAGGTCCTTCAGGTTTCATGGAGAACGCACTAACCATCCAGTCACTGGGTCAGAGTTTAATGGTCCACAGTTTCCTCCGTCTATTAGTTTGCAATACAGCGCGATTATCCACCAAGATCTTCTATGGGTATCCACTTCACTTCCGACCGGTTGACCTCACAGGTTACGGTTTCCTATTAGGACTTTTTGGTATCCATTTCGAAGCATATCACTAATCAGCACTTTACAGTAATGTAGTTTTAGGTTTATGGGGATTCTACTGCCTTAAAAATAAAATTCTCATAAACCTCAAACTACTTTGGATATGTAGCCTCAGCCAGCAAGTATGTTCAAAAAGAGACCTGGAAAAAGTGAATGCAGAATGAGAGAAAAAACAGTTCGATATACGCATATGTGTAAGCTTTCGTGTAATTCCAATTGCTACCATTGTCCCACACTCATAGCCCATAAAACTAATAATTTTTTTTTTCCAATTTCGATTAAATGTAGTAAATATGTCATTATGACCATAATCAAAAATGCTAGGGAACACAAGCGACTTAACTACAAGAGGCAAGAAGTCAAATGACTCCTTTCCTTGTAGTTGAAGAATAAACAGTAAAAAGAAATAATTTCACATGATGAAAAGAACAAATACTTACTCCTGTACTGACAAGTGAAAGCATGACACGTTCATTCAGAGCCAAAGTTTCTCCACCCTTCATTTTAATCCTTTTCTTATCCAAACATTTCATAGCATACCTGTTAAGAGAATTTTTCGATATGATTAGCCGACAGCAACTAGGATTTGATCTATCTCCAGTTTAAAATTTCGGCAACTGCCCAAAAAACGACTGATAATACCAATCCGTAACAATCCCCCCAGTTTCAGTAAACGTTCACCACATCTGTTCATAAAAAAGATAAAGTGGTACGCGACAGCCAAACTTGTGGAGCTGTGGCTGATTGGTTCAGGCAGTTGATTTTCAACCACGGGTTCGAACACATCTCAGCCGACCGAGCTTTGAGCAGCCATGTAGTAATATTAGCCCTCACAAACTAGATATGGCTCATTCCCTACTGGATGAATGTCCATGTGGTAGCTAGAAACGCTTTGATTCTATTCGGCAGTTAAACCCAAGTTGTTTGTGATGCGTTTTCTTCATGGCTACTTCATTTGATTACTGTGCTGTAAAATGCGTTTTTTACCACTAGAAATTTAGTCTCATTTACTTCAAACACGACTGTTCAGTATGAATTCGCATATGCAACTTATCAAATACCTTTACTCGAAACACCTGCTTACAAATCCAAAAATAGTTTGAGACCATACAAACGCGGCATTCCCTGAAAGCCATATATCTCTCTTACCATAACAGATATAACTGAGACAGAGAGACACCAAACGGTATTTGACCAGTTATATTTTACACCCATAGATTATGGCTTAGACCTGAATGTGCTTTTTCATCGCAAAATCAAAGTCATCAAGGATCAACATTTAGCTCGGTTCCCGGTGACCTTGTTTAAGCAACAAATTGAAAGGTGCTGTCAATATGGTTTGAAAAAAGAAACAACAAACCAATTTGCATTCGTTAGACACGTTAGGAGTAACAATAAGTAAACAATGATGAATACTAATTCTCCACAGATTCTATTGAAACGTGGAAGGGTGATTACTAACTTGAACTTATTTGAAATTGTGATCTCTTATCTTTCAATTTTCTACTCCATAAAAATGGATCATCAGATTTCCAAAGAATTCAAAAGGTAGATTACTGGCACAGAATCGGCATATTATGAACGCGAATGTCTTTATCTGAGTAGTGTGCTTCTCGTGCAGATAGAAATCAAATTACGAAACTTAACATCTCCAGTATTGAAGGCTGTTGACTACTGCGACAAAAGTGATAATGTCTTTAAATTCTTGTTGGGAAAATAACTCCGAGAAACTAAAGGCGACCCTTCCGTAAACTACTACTACTACTACTACTACTACTACTACTACTACAGAAGTATGAATATTTGGAGAAACTGACTGAATTAAAAGTGAGTTATAAGCATGAAGAGATGAACTGGAAGAGATTTGAAGATATTCTGGCGTAGTTCCACATTAAATTTGTTTATTTGATGTAAAACACAATGATCTAGTATTATTTACTTGATGATATTGAATTAAATTCTAACATAGTGCCCAAGTTTTATGTTGTGATGCCCCAGTCTTGTATAAAACATTTTTATTGATCTGAACATTTTAACGTGTCCATTCCCACGGTATTTTTACGGTATGACGAATAGCCTATTTCTGTCCCCGTTGTAATGTAATTCGCTGATTGGTTAACTTTTATTCTCACTATGCGAATTTCTCCAATTGCGGACAAGGTCATTTTTCATGTGCATACTTATTCACGTGTTTTGGATTGATTCATTGTTATTATATTCTAGGAGTAGTACACTCTCCTATCTGCCAGCTTCGGTCTTCTCTCTATTCGTCCCGGGGTTGCAGTCAGTGTCTCTTGCGTACCAAGTTAGCTGTCAGCTGAGCGCACGCATTATATTCGTTTCGGAATATATACATATACCAGTAGCGTGTTCGAAAACATAACATTTTACACCTATATTCTGATTTGGATGTACATTTAACTTACAGTGGGAAACTAAAAGATGCGAAAACAAGAATGGGTACGGTCTTTGCATACTGTAATACATGAATATATGGTTAGGAGTCTTAACTACACCTCATTTCGAATTCTTAGAACCTACGAAAGGAAAGCTTTAATCATAGTGTACTTACATTTTACCCGTGTCTGCTTTTCGGCATCCATAAACTTCACCGAAACCACCACGTCCAATGATACGGTGTACACTGAAGTCATTGGTAGTCAGCTGATAAAGTGAAATAAAGGTAAAGTAATTTAATATGGACATACATTAATATTCAGTTCCAAATTCTTCCATTGGCAAAATCGCGTGAACTTGTGACTGTAAGTAGAAAATAAGCGGATAAGAAGTAAGTGAAAAATTCCAATTTACCTGCGAAGAAAATTCTCAAATACATCGCCACGAAGAGATTGAATGATTTCATCTACATACAACTAAAAATATCGGAGAATAAACTTTTTAAGCGTAAAATCATACAGAAAATGTATCTGGGGGCAGCTTTTTGGTTTTCTGAGACAGCGTAAGTAACTCATGAACATGATCCACAGTGGTTTTAGAGAATTTCTGTTAGCAACAAAAGTTATTTTTTAAAACTATGCGTACGTGATTATGCGATAAAAGCTCTTTCATAATATGCTGATCATAAATTTCTCGACCAAGCTTTATACGTTCTTCATCTGTCTCCAACTTCTCAAACTTTTTTATCTACAGATACATCAAATAAATAAACCATTTTCTTACATTTTCGTAAAATGTAAGCTGAGGAACGGGCTCTTCACTCACATTGAGCGCGAAATCTCGGAATAGCAAGTAGCCTTAATAGAAAAGCATGAGTCATTAAACAAATTACAGGTAACAGACATACCTAGTTTCTCGTTGAAAATTTTATCAAAAGTGATTTGATTGTTCTTCTCCAAATATTTTGTCATGATGCCACGGATGCTGGAATTACAGAAAACAACCTTTTAAGAGATGCAATGGCAGTAAAAAGTTGACTATGTGACCATTATACCTCAGTAATAGTGTTTTAATAACGCAGTTGGGTTCAGAAAAAGTCATTTCATGAAAGTGAGTTTCGACTGAAGTGTTTCTATGCAAACCTAAACACCACATCAGCATACACCTGGGGAAAAAATTAGCCCATACAAACAGCGCTATTCCATATAATAATACTCAACCTTTGTGCGATTGTAATTCACTATTGATCGCTGAAAAAACAACTCTAAATCATCCATATTTCATGTTATTGGCTCTAGAATAACTAGTTAGTGGATACCTACTCCGTTTTTTGATCACCAAAATTCAGTGCAATCGATCGATAAACAATAATATTAGCATCGAACCAAGTTATATCACTTATTTATCGATATACTCGTTGTTTTATTGGATCGAATTGTTCGACCAATCAAATTACCGCAAATAAAGAATAAAACAATTTTAAAATAATGACTTATTACCGGCAAAAAAACTAGACGTTACCACTAATTAAAATTTATCATCATGGAAGTGCAGTGTGCAGAAATATCCCTGGATTCCATATAATAGTGAATACTTTTCCAAACTGGGAATAATTACATGTGAAAAGGAATTTATTCTTAACACACTCCGAAACCACCATAAATGAAGTAATCTAAAGGTAAGGACATCAGTGAAGCACTTTTGTATTGGGCGTTGCTGATAAGAATGGATATAAGTAGTATATGTTGAGAGGGCGACAGAAATCATAAAGAATTACCAGCAATGGGTAAGGATTCTGCCTAGAGAAACGCAAGAGATAACGCGGGTGCATTGAGAGCAAATCAAAAGAGAAGCAGAAGAGGAAATGAAGCACATTATGCAGATAACTGTCTTAGTGCAAGGTGTACTAATATTTAACCACTACTGTACCACATGTCAATAATAAACATTCCTTCTTTCATCTCTGTCTTCTCATTTCCTTCACTACGAGTGCGAACACATTATTGCATGAAGTCCAGACTTCGTAGGACGTTTCGTACACATTGGTATAAACTGAAAAGAAGTTTTAGAAAGATTATGAGATTACAAGTATTCGCCTGCTGGAATCACTCAAATAACACATTCCCTGCCCATAATTTGAAATAATAAGCTATCAAAAAACCTTGTAAAGTGTAATTTTGAAGACGTGAAAGGACTCGAAACGGAAAAAAAGATTAAATGGAACAACGAAAGTCTTGCAATACGTTTTCCCATACAGTTGCCGGAGTGAGTCACCAGAACAGGAAGAGTTCAATTCCCCTTAATTTTTACACACGTTCTGATAATAAGTGACCTAATATGTTTTCGGTGGAGTTGTGGCTCATTGGTTTATGGAGATGACTTCAAACCACTGATTGAGTTATGGGTTCGAACACCGCCCCACGTACAGAGGTTTGGGCAACCAGGTAGTAACATCACTCCTCATACATGAAATGTGGTTCACTGCTACCTGCACGAATGCGCACGAAGTAGCTGAGTGAATTCAAAATATGTTTTCCAGACAGTGCTTTACATGAGGTTTAGATAGTCAGATAGTATCATCAACCTTCATATAATAGGTGTGGCTTATCGCCTACCGCACGAACATGCATATGATTAATGAGTGCATTTCGTCTTTCGTTTTTCCCACTTACCACATTTTGAGCAATCCGACAGTATTATTTTCTCCTACACAGCAAATGATTCTACTACATACACCCCCATAAGGTTGTTGAGTTACATCATCCATTATTCTTGAAAACAACAAACTACCGATGAAAAGAGGAGCACTAAACACTTGAGATACCTAATGTATTAATAATTACTGTTACTAATACGGCATAATCATATTTACAGATAGATTTATCAAAGTAAAACTGTGCAAAAAAGGGCAATAATTATTCGTGAAGACCTGTTAAATAACAACTAAGGGAAGAAGTACAGAGCTAGATAAGCAAAACAGAAGAATGATTGCACGTTTTGGGATGCATAATATTTGGTACTCAGTAACAAATACTTTAAGACTGGAAACACCGAAAGCCCAGTTCGAAGCTAAAAATAAAAGTTAACAATTAAAATCCACCTAAGAAATTATCCTTAAAATCCGACTTAGTCAAAATGACCGACAGTTGACAATAGTACTCCACTAGCTCCTGAATACGCAGCAAATATTATCAGTATAAAGACGTAATCAGTGACAAGAAACAAACAGATCTCACCAAAAGGAAATAAGCTATCCAATTCTGTAGCCCACAGAGGAATTTCATGTATGAAAGACGGGTGTTTACGCTGATATCCTTTACAAACCGCATTACTTGACTTCAAGGAACTCTGAGGACGAACCAACCAAGAACCCATCGCCCAACAAATCTGCAGAAGAAAATGGAGATGGATTGGGTATACACTGAGAAAACCATTCGAGGACATTATGCGCCAGCCCAGGTCCTCGCATGGAATCCAAAGGGGAAACGACGAGTTGGACGTCTGATGCGAGGGTGACATGGAGATCGTGTGAGGAAAAAATGAAAGCTTATGGGCAGTCGTAGAGCCAGGTTCAAAAGACTGCAGAGAACAGAGTGTAATGGAGATGTGCTACTGAAGCCCTATGTTCCACTATGAACCCAAGGGACAAATAATATAATAATTACTTGACTTGAAGGCACCTGTGAATCTATTTGGTTAAGAGGTCGTGTAGCGATGTTTGAAAGATACTGTTGCCTGAGAAGTATATCGCGTTACCGAAGGTTCCGTACACGAATCCCACGTAGTAGTGTTACACTGTCTTCACTAAGCTCTTGAGTAGGTCGTTTACGTCGTGATTTTCATCTCGGAAATTGACTTTCATTCACTTATTCATGTGAAATACGTTGGACCATGCAGACCTATAGGATGGAGTCCGTGAAGCGAACCAGATCAGTGGTTGGGAACTCCAGATGATACAGTCCTGTATCAATAACAATGGCACAGATGAATTCATTATTTACTTTAACCCTTCTTTACTTCAGATAAATTTCAATGACCACTACATTATTTCACTGGAAGTTATATGAAGGGAAGAGAAGGATTTAAAGTAAATAATGAAGTCCAGCTTTGAATTACTGGTCTTGGCACTTTATTTCCAACCTATGGGTCACAGGCTCGAACTCGACTCCGCCTGACGAGGTTTGGGGGAGTAGATAGTATCAATAACTCTCAACATAGGCGTAGCTAGTTGTTTAATGTATAAATATGCACAAAGTTGCTGAGTAAACTTTGATCTATTGATTCCTACATTATTTCCATCTTTTCGCTCTGCATACTGATTACTTTCAGTACCATTCTTTTCCCATCCATTTGTATCACGCAATACTGTGAACTGTAGCGACTTAAAGTGATGCGCTTCTGCGCAAAGTTTTACGTTGATTTATCATTTCACCCCTTGCACCTTCAGTTGCTGACGTGACGTATAACAACTCGGACCTTTACACAGTAAAGCCTGATCTCATGTGAATTCTTCAGTTTCCAGTCGACAAACATACGGACAGATTTTTTCACTAACAAAAAGATTCGTTTAAACTGTTAAAACTCGGGACCATAATGCTTGCTGAGGATATTTGCAGGGAATATGACTAAAATATTAGCCGTATTACTTCAGAAATAGTTAATTAACCGACAATAATTAATCAAATAACATATATCTACAGTTTACATGACGCATATTATCAGGTATTGTCATACTGCACAACTTTTACGAAGTCTCCAAAAAATCAATGAAATAGCCTCATAAGAATGACAGATATTACCGCAACATGGTTCTGGAATAGATTCCGATACTTTGTTTTTTTACAAAGTACTAGACATACTGAACTAAAGTGTTTCTTCCAGTGTCAGACGTTAACTTATAAACCTCATTTCCCCATACGTAGCAGGGACGCCCACATTTAATACAAACTTTCGCAACAGTTTAACACCAAGATATCTTTAATGGGTGCTACATTCAGTCAGGTGAGCGCTTGGTATGAGTCGCTCTTTCAGATTGATAAAACGAGTAGTGTTAATCAGACACGTTTCTTCTAAGTATCTTATTAAAGCTGTAAAAAAATTACGCATCTACTTTTAGAAGTACAGACTTTTGGAATGAAATTCCTATCCGTTAATTGAATAGTCTATCTCCAATCAAAGTGATGCAATTCTTTAAACCAATGGAGCTATGAAAGTGAAGTGAAGCAGTTCTTATTTAAAGCCCGAATAATAGACAAACATATGTATTAGTGCCATAGGACTCCGTTTAATTTGCGATACTTCATCAATAAACAGGAGTTCAAATCAACAAAGTAACATAATAATGAACATATCAGTAACATACAACAAGACAAATTAACGTAGAACCTCGCACAGAACTGCATAGGTTCAAGTTGCTACACTACAGAAATATGCAAAAAGTGGGTAAAAAGAGTTATGTCAAAGAAGGAAAATGCAACAGAAGTGGCAAAATGAATAAATAAGGCTAATGAAAATTTTCATAACACCTCTAAGACGATAAAGAGTAAATACCACCGTGATAACTTAGTCGAGTTTGCGCAATCATCAAGAATTACTCACCAAAAATTTCTATCTGGAAGCCCCCTAGTTTACACCTCCCTAAATGGACCAGACCAACAATGATTTTATAGGCTGCTAACACGTCTTAGTGTGGCCACCCTTAGCCTTTTTCCAACCTAATCTTACCTCAGTTAATAGTCCACGTCCAAGTTGGGGGTGGCTTGCTTTGCAAATCGCATGTCCAAGCCAATTCAGTCGGTGAGGGTTCACAATGTCATCTATTGACTTACCAATCATGCCTAGTACCCTTCACCTAACCTTGACATTGCTCATACGATGGTTCCATTACACGCCAGCAACGCTGCGAAGACAATTTCGGTCAAAAGCTATAATCTAATATCTGCTTTCGAAGAGCGCATTTCACAACCGTCCAAGACAGACTTAACTGCAGTGCAGTATACGCATCCTTCGACAGACAGTCGAATGCCTTGCTGGCATCAGAGATGGAGTAATTTGGCACATACCGAACGGACTTTTTGTATCCGATGCGAGCTCTCATCAACAACTAACCCGTTTGGGTTGACGAAACTTTCCAAGTAAAGTAATAAACGCATTCTATCACTTCACTCCCTATCCTTAAACTGGTAGTAAGTGTAGACCAGTACTAAAGCGTCATTGAAAAATTGAGAGGTTCAAAACGCAAATTTGTGCTCATAACCCTCAGGAAACTATGCATTTTACCGGAGTTTCTGTCAAACAGGATAGTGTCTGCGTACTCCATGTTAACCAGATGCCCTCCCTCTGAAGTCGGAGGTACCCCGTTTTGTGCCTATTAGTAAGTCTTCAACAAATTTAAACAAAAATAGTGACAGCGGCTATACCTGGTGGCACCAAATGGTGCCACTTCAGACAACTCCACATACACCCTTACATGGCTGTGTGAGCTCAAAAAGAGAGCTTGGGTTAGTATTACACAATTGTTTGGTAGTCCCTCCGGTCGACTAAATCAAAATGCTGCCTTCAAGTCAGGAAATATGGCAAGTAATCGGCGCTGCTAGGTATGCTGTTACAAAACCTGTCGAAGGGTGAAGAAGTGATCGATGAACAAATTGATTCATGACAAAGTTTCTAATCCAATGAGCCACAACACCACTACCGTAAACACCTTCAAAATGTCTTTCTAATTGGCTCAGCTTCCCAAAATGACCATTAAAGTCATGTGCTATTATGTCTACATTTGAACGACCTGCTCTATGCAGCGAAACTGATATTTTTTGATAGAATTCATTCTTAGCACCATTTAAATTCCAGCCGATTGAAGAGTAAGCGGAAACTATGAATGGGCGTCGACAAAAGTCGTTCCCAGTTCTTACGGATCCATTCATAGTCAAACTGCATATATTCAGCTGTAGACTGATATCCAGTAGAGAAATCCACTTACGGCTCTACAACCCGGTATTACACATACAATAGCGGGTCTACAGGAACGAACCAGTGAATCTCCAGACACTCATTAAGCAAATTGTGCAGACTCACCACACTAGTCACCTGAGGCCAAATAAATAATCACACCTGGGTCCCATAAACGCATCACAGAGATCCGGCATGGCTCGACATTTCAGTCTGTGCAATACCTGTTGTTTCATTTCGCATAAAGTTCGGACACTGAAAGCAGGGTGGATTCAGAGAATTAAGAGTAGTGTTTTGGTGGCTAGGATAGTTAACAAAGGTTGCAGGATGAGATCAGAAAACCATAAGGGACTTAATATTGGCATCAGGAAGTAAAGATAAGAGTGGAGATAAAAGCGAGGAAGGAAGTTCATGCTCAGTCAGGTTCTTTATGCTGGGGGGTGAGTGTGGGCGGTTGGCACTTTTCAGCTATCCACACCGTGAAATTGTTTGTACAAGGGTATCTAGAAGAGCAAACAGACTAGTTCACATGACGGCAGAGCCCGAAGGAAATCTGCTAATAGAGAAGGCAGCATATGTAGGAACCTCCGATCATCTGGGGAAAACACTTGACTGTTGTCTTACCCTGTCCAGCCAGCAGTACCTAACATATGGCAGTTATCTGCACTATAAATATAACTGCTTTCGTCGCAACACTTCAAAAAACCTGATACGGTAGGAATTCAAAGAACAAATGTTCCTACCAGCACATCGCATCGGGTTACTGCGATATGCAAGCCCGACCACAGCATCAAGGTAGCAGCTATCAGGACTCTAATAAAAAGCCTAATGAAGGCAAAGGGAGTATAGATATGTCATACTGCAACATAGATGATGACAAGGTATGGATTCACATGCAACACAAACCAATTCTGAAGCATACAATGTAGTCATCAACCTTCTATCTGGGTTTCCTCAAATACCCCCACTACGAAGTCCAGATTCCCTAACAGATCCAAGACCAATATTTCGGAACTGAAAGTTACAGGGATGTCACTACTGAAATACTAATATCCTACGGTCCTATAATAGGACAGGAAACACTCCTACATAATACAATAACCCCGTAAATTAAAATCGGGTATTAGGTCAGCAATGCAGGTTGGTAAAATCTCAACGGTCATTTAACATACGTACCAGGTGAGAATGTGGAAACGTTCGACATTATTTGTGTGTTTTAAAAGCAACAGATAGGACATCTTTCAAATTTGGATCCAAAATACAGATTAACTAGAAAGGTCAAGGAAATTACATGTCACATTAAGACCATTGTGTGACCACACTTACTTCAAGAAATAGATTGCAGATAAAGCCAAAAGGTCGAACATCATTTGAAAACTTAAGCAGTTAGGATTAACAACCTTCAACTTCACTAACTCCATCGGTCACTACGCTGTGGATCACCACTATCATTTCACCAAACAACAAACTCACTTGGTACATAAGACATACCCCACACCAAGTTCGAAACTCCACTAAATGCCTTTCTTGCCTGAAGCTAAAACTAATCTCAGCGTTAAGTCAGTGATTCTGTAATAAGGCATTTTTAGTTTTAAGTCACCAAGGTGTTTCATACACAATTTAGACGGTGCGCGTCAGAAAATATAAAACGAGTTTAGTTGTGCAGCCATTCCACTAGGATTGATGTAGTTATCTTTATTATCTAGTTATAACGTAATTATAGACCAGAGAGATGTAGTTACTCCCTCCAATACATTTATGACAACTGTTCGTGAAGTGTTTGATCACCAGTAACTGAAACACCAAACAGCAACTCTTCCGAAACTTAACACGAGAGTGACACACTGGATGAAAAAACTGACGATGCGACACGTTTAGCATCCCATTCAAATAAACTTATACGAAAGCCATCCTAGTGACGACAGAATATAACCTCTAGCTAGCAAACTATGGCAAATATGATGCATCACTGGGTTGTGATGCAGAACCAACCTGCCTACATCAAGATGAAAATTGCTGACACACACTACTAACATCCTACCAAGTCACTATTTAAAACCGAGTGATGCACTAATCTATAAATTAAACTTTTTTTTCTTAATGAATAGTTCATGCACTTATTCCGACAAAATCACGTACGCCCAAACGAAAATATGATTAAAGCCCATCCTTTACTCCACAATAAGAATTCTTAACCCATACCCCACACCAATAGCTACCAATTATACCACTCAAGCGTCGACTGTCGAGTTGGTCCCAGCTACAAACACACAATGTAACAATTCATGAAGCCATTGATAGCTGACCACAGTTATGCAGTACGGTAAAGAGTAGGAATAACGAATAGCCGGGTAGGCAGTGACAATACCATATACTCCGGTCAAAAAATTTGAACATGGCATAAAGAGGGGAGAATGACACTAAGCTTAAGATAACTTTTACCAAAGAAAAACAGCTTTTGATGGTTTACTAAACGTAACCCAAAGGACACTAAAGATCTTTCGTCTCTAAAATCAAGCTTTTGAGGGAAAATGAGTAAAAAGCACATGAAGGTAATTTCTAACCACCTACTTGTAATCCCTACATAATATATAGAGAAAATTACGATCCTGTGGAAATAATCTATACTACCTAGTTCGTTTGATCGCTTGAAAGTTTTCATGCAAACGTTAACTGCTTCGACACACCCATATCGTAATCACAAACTTGGCAAGTGAATCACAGTACATTCGATGCAGCGGATGCTCGTTACAACTAGCTACGTCTACCTAGAGCACCACCACAGGTTAAAATCCCTAGCACACATTACTGTGCGCATGGGTTCCAAAAATGCAAAAAATAGCACCCCGAATGACTGCAAGTTTTTTTAAGTAACTGAGAATGAGGTCGGACGTGATGGGCTTTAAGAACTAGATATGGGAGTTCAAACCATCTACACAGGCATGGTGATGTGGGAACAGCTTTGACTATTATATGAAAGTTTCTTCAAGCAGATTTTCAACAATCTCGAATATGACAGCCTTAAAATGATTAAAAATCCCTGATCTTGAAAAGTTTGCTAAGCTTAGATAAGAAGTGAAGACTCAGTTTAAAGGGCAGTAGAAAACATCCAAAAGTATAGCAGAAAGTTAATAACTTGGGAATTACCTCGGATCAGGTAACGCTATCCTTTTACTAGCCCGAGCGGCTGGAGTTGATTTACTCATCTCCATCGCCATCAAATAGCTGACATCCGCCAACACAGCTTCCAGATCCGCCATCTCAAAAGTTGATTAGGCTTAATTATTGATATATCCAAATGAAGAGAATGAATTCCACAATGTTATCGACAACATAAGCCAGAACCTTCATCAACAGCCATTATTGAGACATTCATACATTCCGCTTTCCAAAAATAGTTGAAAAAACAAGAACTTATCTCCGATGTTCCTCAGTAGGAAAAATAAGGTAAAATTCCATTGAATTGTGCTTTTTTATGTATGAATAGTGACTAAGTAGTCATAGTCCCGGAGATGCACAGAAAGAATAGATCAGGAGTAACTAAAGATAATTGTTTTATCCTGACATGCACAGAAACAAAGCCTGGAACATAGCAGGCTGCATGTCAGGCACAACTTCTGTTCCCTAAGAGTTTTTAAACCCTGTAACGCTCTTCCTGAAGATGTGATCCAGGCTACTTCGTCAGAATCTTTTAAACGCCAACTGGATACCCACTTGATGTGTGTCTGGGATCTGCCCAGAACTAAGTGAATTTTCACATTTTAATCGCCACTTTCTCACCTTTCTTTACTTGTACAACAGGTTGACAACCAAAAAGAGTAGTGATCCACGGATTATAAACACGGAAGCCAGTTAAGTGAAAGCTTCTCCTATTCCGTCAACAACCATTTAAACCATTTGACAGAAAACTGTTAATGTTTAGAGTCTGGTTAATGGGTTAATCGAATCTGAACGTGCGCTTATGCTAACTGTTTTCGAATACATGTTTGTTTATCACTTTCTCGAGCTAATCAGCTTAATGTTATGGTGCCATTTCCATCGTGAATCCGCTCCAAGAGTCAATTACTCTGAAATGGTGCAGAAGATTGGTAGTCCAGGTGGATGGCCTTACTCGTATTGTGTTCCCTGACCTGGGTTTTTTAGTTGCGTATGAAGATGCTGAAAGCTCCTAGATCAAACAACCAAGCTCAGAGAACACAATGCAACCAAGAGTTAATTACTCTGCATAAAACCATATTACAGGACATCGCAATTGTTCAGAAATCATGAGGACACTTTGCTGGAGTTACCCGTCGTATAAGAAGTGAAAATGAACCTTAAATGGATCAGGTACAGAATATCTCACAAACGCCCTTACATAGTGTCAATTGAAACTGAAGTTGAAATTACCGTACTTTGTTTAAACGGAATCAGAAGTGCTCTCTTTTGTGAGATTTCAATCCAGTTCGCCTCCCCATGGTGTTCTAGAAGAGTGCAAAACGAAAATTTTCGGTGGGCAGCTGTCGAAACCGGTATTTGTCGAGGGATCCTTGCTGAAACCATACCTCCCTGTAACTGACATTTTTGTGTAGTGTTCTAAGGGGGTTACCACAAGTCCAAGTGGGACGCCTCCAGCTCCTATGCCTGACAGATGGAAGACAGAAGACTGTTTTTTTGACTGCATATATTTAAAGGATATAGGTGGTTCCCCTTACGCATTTTGATAAGGCAATATGAGGACGTGACTTTGATGGATCGAATAGTGCACTTGAACAACACATTTCGAGCAGTTTGACCATGCACGAGCTCGTCACCTATATGAAATATCACGAGGTTGAAGGGACAGGAAAATAATTATCGGGTAGATAAGAAGACTGCATTCAATGTCAAAATCACAATGAAGATCAAAAAGGAATAACAACAAAAAGTTAGTCATACGATAACCTCAGATCACAGCCGGACTTACCAGGGTAGGTTTGTCGCGGTGACGAACTGTTTTGAGTGCATAAAGATGGCCTAAACCACCCGATGGCCAATGGTTCAGAAAACTTTGAGTTGTCTTCCCTACAGGTCTTTCATATGGGCCTAAATGGCGGCTTTACATCCATTTTATGTCCTATTCCAATAGCATGTTCAGCTAACGAGGAGATGGGACATCTGTTTCACAACATTGATCACGTCAGGAGATTCCTTTTGTTTCTGCGGCCACCTTGGAAGGTACTCCATGCCTCTTATCGTCAATGATCATTGAGTCGTCCCCAAGCATTTTTGACCACACGCACATTTGAATTAGGGGATACAATGGGCTGTGATTTCATCTTGCTTTCGTTCCAACGGCTTTGAAGGGAATGTGACCACGTGTGTGGTCAGACTGTTCGGAATGTGTCACGCAAATACACTGAAAGGATTCAGACAAGTTACGTCTTCTTATTGCTTCATCAGAATATGTCTCTTACCCAAGAGGTTTGCTCCCTTATTTATTGAAGGTTAGATACAAATCTGTTTAAGGGGCCTTCCGCAAAGAAAGGCCGCCTCGTGGCTAAAGCTGCTTCAATAGCCATTTCCCAGAACGTCAGGGTCAGAAGTAAGACGCTGATAAAAATTCCTGAGCAATGAAGTCACTGTACTAACTTTGTCCCCTCGTGATATGAACACAAATAGGTGAACTGCGTTTGCTTGTACTTATACCCAGGTAATAAACTTAGCAGTGCACCCTCTTAACATCGAAATACCGCAACGCAATGTCATGTTGGGTACATGAAGGACAGTCGTTATGTGAGATGTTGTTCAACGTATTTTGTTACAATATTAAATAACTTTAAAACAGTTGCGTTCTCATCACTGCCCCTGCGTGTGAGAGACAACTCGCCAAGTATTAGGAAGGCGTTTATAGTACACCAAAACTGAATTTACAGGTGAAACACAAAAGCCTTGCAGACATCGCGGGTGAAAACACCTCGACACCAGCATCTTAATTCAGTGAGGGAAGCGGTGTCTTCGGGGACTTTCACTTTTCTTGCCAGTGTTTTAGGCGGCCAATCACTTTGGGAGTAGGGTGGCTGACAAAAATGGCCTTCGGGGGTGACTGCTCCTTACCAAGTTTGGATGGTATGGCATACAGCAACCTCCTATGATGCATGAAATACAAAGTATATTAAGAAATAATAAGGTCTGAAGAAGAAAAAGGGAAATCGACCAGCATGACGAGGTGGAGATGAGTAACATGGAAGGACATCGGTCATGATATATGCACATCGGTGGGCTGGGGGACATATAGAGCCTAGGTAATGCCAAATACACATACACCTGTCTGTAGGCCAAAGTATAGAAAAAAGCAGAATTTTCTACATGCAAAAGATGAAGACAAAAAATCACAAAAGGAGGTGGGGGTGGAGAAATATTGCACAGCTGAAGGGGACATGTGAAGAAAGATGGTGACAACCAGTAATAGATTTAGCCTTAAAGAGACACATAAAACAGATATTGAGACGACTGATGTTCTGCCCGAAAGTGTCTGGCATGCACACGTGATACGTGACCACTTTGTGGTGCACCGTCTTGACACCAAAAGGCGAATAGGGTCAAAATAAATAGTTTAGGCTGGGTAAACCAAATATTGACTGAATAGCCTTCTAACTCGTCCCCGGAAGCCTAAGATGTTTGAAGTTTCGTTTTAACGAGCAAGCACCCGAGCAGGCTTCGACGCCGTTTCGCGCTTTCTCCGTGCCGGTCAACTTGCAAATCTTCAGAGGCTCTAGCTCGAACATATTAGCCAGAGGAGTTGGATGTGCTTCCCCCTAATAATTACTATCACATTTGTCACATTTAGACATATTGCTTCTTGTAATGTACTCCCAAATACCAGTCCTTTTAATTTGTGTTTCAGTGGCTGTCTCCTTTTTGTTTTGTGTTTACCCTTGCTTTATCAGATCGCTTACCAGTGTCTGAGAATGACGAATGTCCCGCGCAGATGGCCGTATCTCCTCAGCTTCCACCTTCTGGATCCATAAACCATCTGTATGGTTAGCCCACGCCGAAGCCCAATTTGTCTTGAGGCGTATTCACTTATGATTAACCAATTCGAACTTGGTTTTCGTGGGCTTGCCCGAAAATGTAACCGAAGATGTCTCAGACGTGTAGAGGACCGGCCAACGAAGATACATGATCATCCTAAAGCAACCGCCAACAAGCACGTTTCACTTACTGAGCAGCAGAAAGTGCTAGAACCGTTTAGGGATATGCACCTTGGCGATTGTAAGCCCGGCTTTGTTAGTTGAAGCAGATGGTTCCAGACCTCCAAAACTGATGATACACTTTTCAGACAACTATGGTTGCAGAGACTGTCACAGACGGCGCAATGGATCCTAACTCCCTTTCACAATTCCCTTTGGATGGAGCTGGTGGAAGCAGCTGACACAGCTGCGGTTGCCACCAACCCCAACAAGAGTACTTCGGCCGCAATACCTACTGCCGGTGGTTCACAGAAAAACACCTGCTCTCACTCCACAAGTAGGCGTCGATTTTTAACGCTGTGGCTCATATAACTAAATTGTGCGAGGAACTGTGGAATATAGGGAAAGAGATGCGGTCTGATAATTCTTCCTGCAGCCTCACATATTGCCTGCTCAGCAGATCCACCTTCCATGCCTGCAACAGGCGCTTCAGATCGCGATAGTCTCATTCCGGGTTGTGGTGGTACCGTAGACGGTACGGTGCCGAAGCCGAAAGGTGGCTCTGGACCCCGCACCTTGGACGCTAGACAAGCAAGAAACGCGTGAGCCAGCACAGGGCGACGACCAAGGCTGTTGGCGAACCACCCCACGGCCGCCTCTCCTAAGCCACGGATCGAGATTCTTTGATGCTATCCCTGACTTACACTGAGACAGAATCTAGCATCTTCCCATCTACGGGTAAGGGGCATCCATGACCAACGTCTCGATAACTTCCTGCCGCCAACTGTTCTGTCATCACAACTTACGGTCAAAGATTTCTCGACCTCAAACTTGTTCTACGCCGCCTTTTCCGTCGGGTTTTCATCGCGGCTGATGTGACCACCAGCGTTATTGGTGCGGATCTCTTACAGCACTAACGCCTGCTGGTAGATACTGGTAGGCACAAGTTGATTGATTCTAACACAAGACTCTGTCACACAGACGTCCTCTTCCAGCTCCGTGCACCCCACGACCGACAATGTCAGACCTTGCGCGTCTCTTATTCAATCCCTTCCGGATGTCTGCAAGCCAAGTCGTAGTGAACCCTCGGTGACTTGCAACGTTTCGCATCGCGCAAGGACGGTGTTCGCCGAACCACGGTGATTGTCCTCAGAGGACTTGGGCGCCATCGAGGTTGGGCATGGACGCACGCTCCAGATCGGAGTAACCAGACTATTCAGCAGTCCATGGTCTTCATCCTTGCATG